AGCCGGGGAGAGAACCCAGGAGTCCTGGCCCCCTGCTCTAACCACCAGACCCCACTCTCCTCCCAGAGCCGGGGAGAGAACCCAGGAGTCCTGGCTCCCTGCTCTAACCACCAGACCCCGCTCTCCTCCCAGAGCCGGGGGGAGAACCCAGGAGTCCTGGCTCCCACTCCCCTGGACACACACACACACTCTGACTCACAGACTCCCAACCCCTGAGTGCACCCCCGTTTCCCAGGAAGGGGGAGTCCCTCCTAGCTGACCCCTCCCCTTGCTTAGTTTTCAAAGGTGCGGCACTGCCCCAGTGGGGTTGGGGGGGTCAGTGACACGTAACCCCCTGCCCTGTTCTGCCTGCAAAGCCCAACCCCCACGGCAATCGGCTGGGGCTGGGGCTGGGGCACGCTGGATGTGTGGGGGGGGTTCTTCCCGCTCTAGCATGTGCTGTCTCCCCGGGGGGGCTCCCCCACCCCGTCCCCTGGCTGGGAGCAGGCCCTACCCACAATGCACTGCACAGCCCGGAGAACAGGTGAGCCCAGGTGGGAGGATCAGCTGCCCCAGAAGGTACCATGCGAGCGGCACTGGGCTCTTAACGGGACCCCCCCAGGGCCCTCCTCCTCCTCCTGCCTTGGGCCCTGATCCAGGCCTCCCCCGGAATCAATCCCCCCCCGTCCTGAGTTGGGCACAGCCCCCAAACAAGTGCAGGCCCCCCCCATGCCTCCTATGGGTGCAACAGCTCCCAAATGGAGCAACCCCTGCCCCACAAGAGGAGTGGGAGGTGTAAAGTGGCCTCTCCATAGCAAGGTGACCTTTACCCCCGCTGGGGGGCTCTGGCCCCATTGACTCCCTGGAGCGACAGCCCATTGTCCCCAGCTGGGGGGCTCTGGCCCCATTGACTCCATGGGGCAACAGCCAACTGTCCCCAGCTGGGGGGGCTCTGGCCCGATTGACTCCATGGGGCAACAGCCCGTTGTCCCCAGCTGGGGGGCTCTGGCCCCACTGACTCCATGGGGCAACAGCCCATTGTCCCCAGCTGGGGGGCTCTGGCCCCATTGACTCCATGGGGCAACAGCCAACTGTCCCCAGCTGGGGGGCTCTGGCCCCATTGACTCCATGGGGCAACAGCCCATTGTCCCCAGCTGGGGGGGCTCTGGCCCCATTGACTCCATGGGGCGCCGGCCCATTGAACCTGGGGTGGGGGGTCTGTCTCTTTATGCCGTCATCAGAAGGATGCGGCGGGGTTAAATGCCTGTTCGAGGAGCCCAGCAAAGGGTGGGGAGGCTGTAAACTCCCCTCCCTCCCCAGCCCGGGGGCCACAGTGAACCCAGGCGTCCGGGAATTTTGAACCCAGGCAACAGGCTCTGCCACTTTTCTGTTGCTGTTTTTTCTTTTTGTTCGATCAGTGCTCATTCCACCCCCACCCCATTTCCCCTCCCTCCAGCCCCTCTGCTGCTGCATATGGCCCGTAGGCGCTAGCCGCCGGCTCTGCGCTCTCGTGTTCCTTGTGGGGGGCACGTCCAGGCCGCCCCGGCGCAGGAGCCAGGGACTGGTCATCACAGGGCCTACGGGGCGGGAAAAGGGATGGGACCCAGGGAGCTGGAGGGTGGACTTTTTGGAGGAGCAGTGGGAGAGGGGGCATGGATGGATAGGGGATAGGATAGATAGATACATGGGTGGGGTGAATGGATGTGGGGTAGGACAGATAGCGGGGGGAGGGATGGGGTAGGATACAGAGACTGGGATGGATGGATGGATGTGGGGTAGGATGGCTAGTGGGGGAGGGAGGGGTAGGAGAGACACGGAGACGGGGGTGTCTAGGGGATGGATGTGGGGTAGGACAGCTAGCGGGGGGAGGGTGGGGTAGGAGAGACACGGAAACGGGGGTGTCCAGGGGACGGATGGATGGACAGAGGGACGGTGCAGAACAGATGGACGGCTAGCTCAGGCTCGAGCTGATCACGTATTCCCGGCCCTGGGAGCCAGGACTCCTGGGTTCTCTCTCTGGCTCCAGGAGGGGACTGGGGTCTCGGCTTAGAGCAGGGCGGGCTGCGGGCCAGGACTCCTGGGTTCTCTCTCTGGCTCCAGGAGGGGACTGGGGTCTCAGGGGTTAGAGCAGGGCAGGCTGCGGGCCAGGACTCCTGGGTTCTCTCTCTGGCTCCAGGAGGGGACTGGGGTCTCAGCTTAGAGCAGGGCGGGCTGCGGGCCAGGACTCCTGGGTTCTCTCTCTGGCTCCAGGAGGGGACTGGGGTCTCAGCTTAGAGCAGGGCGGGCTGCGGGCCAGGACTCCTGGGTTCTCTCTCTGGCTCCAGGAGGGGACTGGGGTCTCAGGGGTTAGAGCAGGGTGGGCTGCGGGCCAGGACTCCTGGGTTCTCTCTCTGGCTCCAGGAGGGGACTGGGGTCTCGGCTTAGAGCAGGGGGGGCTGCGAGCCAGGACTCCTGGGTTCTCTTCTGGATCGACAGTAACCAAGTGACCGCAGGCTGCCCCCGGGCCTGTTGCCTGGATTGGCGCCTAGAACTCACTTTTCTTTCCCCTCCTTTTCCGCCCCCTGTGCCCGCCCTGTGCCCGCCGGGGTCCCTCCGGCCAGATCCGCGTAGTGAAAGCGTTCCGTAGCTCGCTCTATGAAGGGCTGGAGAAGCCGGACTCCAAGACCTCGATCCACAACTTCATGGCCACCCCGGAGTTCCTGCTGAACGACTACACCCACAACATCCCCCTGATCGACGACACCGACGCGGAGGAGAGCGAGGCGGCCCGCCGGCCCCCCAGCCCCCCGCCCACCCCCAACAAGAACAACAATGCCATCGACAGCGGCGTCTACCTGGCCACCGACGAGGGCTCCAAGTCTCCTGCCTCCGCCAGCCCGCTCCACAGCATGGAAACGTCCCTGTGACGCCCCAGCAGGCTGGCCCCGCGGCAGGGGGGCAGGAAGATCGAGCAGCCAGAGGGACGGGGGGCCCGGGCTCCTTCGGCTTGTCGGAGCGTGAACTGGCTGCGGACAGAGCTGGAGCTGGGAGCGGCCCCTGTTTCTCTGGGGAGGCCCAGCGCCACGCGCCCCCCACCCCGGCGTGCGCTCCGGGCCCCGCGGCCCCGGCAGACTCTGGGCGGTGCCGGAGCTGGCCAGGAAGGCCCTGCCGCAGGCGGGGCGAGGGCCCCTTTAGCGATCTATAGCCTCAATATATCTACGATACCGACTGACTGTCTTATGGGACTGACCATCGCATGCCGGCCCCACATGCTACTTCCCACCACCACCACCCCCCAGCATCCCCCCTCCCCGGGGCAAATTTTCAGCCTGAGCAGCGGGAGGGAGATTGTGCGTTTTGGTTTCTTTGTTTTTTAAAGTCGTCGGGCGCTGGAGCCGGTGTTTAACAAGGGCTTGGGTGTGAAAACATGGCAGGAGCATTGGAGTGGGGGGGCCACAGCACTGGAGATCGGGGCCTGTCATGCTGGACCCCAGCCAAGAGCGGAGCCCCCGCTGTGCCACGTAGACCCCCGACCCAGATGGGGGCCCCATCGCACCAGGAGCTGCACAGACCCTCCTGACCCAGACCGGGGACCCCCGTCGTGCTGGGGCAGTGCCCGCCCCCCGCAACACTGCTGTAAGTCTCTGTCAGTGTTAGGCCCCCCAGCACTGCTGGTGGGGAGATGCTGCAGCCCAGGACGGGGCCCGCGTGCTGCAGGGGCGCGAGGGGCATTGGATCTGGTTCCCAAAGTGACACTGAGTTCCCAACGCCCCAAGGCCTATCCCTGCCCTGTGTGCCCCCAGCCTCCTCGGGGGTCCCTCAGTCACCACGGAGATCTGGGGGTGGAGGGAGCTGTCCCAGGCACACCAGCTAGGGCTGGCCCTTGTGTGTTATTTACAGACCTTCAGATCCCCCACCTGAGACTGGGAGCCAGGACTCCTGGGTTCTCTCCCTGGCTCTGGGAGGGGAGTGGGGGCTAGTGGTTCGAGCGGGCTGAGAGCCAGGACGCCTGGGTTCTACCCCTGGCTCTGGTAGGGCAAGTACCTGCTCCTGCCTCAATTTCCCCTTCTGGCACAATCCTTCTCAAAAGCCCCGTGTGGGAGGCAGGAGCAATGGGGGTGGGGTCCCATATTTCCTACGAGGCCCCTTTCCCATTTCCACACCTCATCCCGCGTCCGACCACCAGCGCCCTCAAAAGCCATGCCTTCCGGCTAAGGGTAGCCCCACCCCGGTGAGGACAGCTCTTCTGCCCTCCAGCCCAGCCCCTCGACTCCCTGGGGGGCGCATCCAGGAAATCTCACCTCCGTCCGTCCAGCTTGTTCTCATTCAATATTGTACATATACTGACAGAGTAGGGCGGGGGGAGGGGCGGGGGAGGGGTGAATATATAGAGATATATTTAAAAAAAAACAACAAACCTTTAAAAACCCAGCACTCCCTGCACACTTTTCAGCCGTGTAAACCTCGCTGGGTCTAAGCACACCCACGCGGGGGATCCGTTCTGGTTCCTTCCTTTCCTCCAACCGGGGACACACACAGACTGCCTTTGATTTTTTTTAAGGACCAAACAAAAATCAACTTGAGGTTTCTGTGGGTGTCCCCGCCCCCCCTTCCCACAGTGTGGGGGCGGATTTCGGACTGAAATTGTGACCCCCCCACCATGCCCATTTCCGGATCAAAGCATATAACTCAACTGAATGGCTCGATCAAGTTTGTTCATATTATTAAAAATTAATAAAATAACTCACCCGGATGCCGTTTCTCCTCCGGCAAGGGGGGGCGGGGGGAGAAGTAAGACGGGGACGATGCAGGCGCTCTGCAAACGCGGGCAGAGTCAGTTACATGGGGGGGAACCCCACCACCACCATGGCTGTGGTGAGCCTACCCTCACCCCCTTTGCGACCCAGCCGGCTGGTAAAGCTTTCGAACCCAGCGCCGTGCGGCGGGCCCAGGCGTCCGCCAACGCCCAGGGCTCAGCGAGTGAAATGAGAGCCAGGCCCAATCTCGCTGCAAAGCCCAAAGAACAACCCGGTCACGGCTGGTTCAGGGGCACAGCTTTACTCGCCGGATCGAGCAGCCCAAGCGCCGGGGACGGGTGTGGACAGGGGGGAAGGGGAGCCCTGCGGCCGGTCGGGACCCAGGTCACTAACAGCCGTCGGGCACGTTATGTGGCGGTGTGGAGCTTGCATCCCAGCAGCTGCAGCGCTCCGCCTGGCTGGCGCAGTGCTAGGGGCCGACGGCCTTCTCGGGGCGCAGCCAGCAAGGCAGCCGGCCCGCGGTAGGAGCTCAGGCAGCGAGGGTAACGGCTGTGGGACAGGACACCCAGACTGCAACCAACACCCTGTTTTCAAAGCCAGGGAAGGGGCAGGGAACGGGGCCTGAGGTCTTGACCCTCTAGGGGGTGCTGGCTCGGATCTGGGCCCAGGGTGGAGACTGGCTGGCTCAGGGGGGTGGGAATGGAGCCTGGGGTCTTTCCCCACTAAGGGGTGCCAGATCCCATCTGGCTTCGGGGCAGGGATGGGCTGACTCAGGGGGTGGGAATGGGACATGAGGCCTTTCCCCTCTAAGGGGGGCCGGCTTCCATCCACTCCCAGGGCAGAGACTGGCTGGCTCGGGGGGCAGGAACGGGGCCTGTCCCCTCCCCAGCACTGGGTCGCTCTCCGGACCCCGTTAGGAGATTTCTGCATCCAAGGTGTAAATCTGGATCAGGTCCAATACGATCTGGTCAATCTGAGCCTTGCTGAGATCTTCACTGAACACCTAGGAGAGGAAGAAAGGAGACGGGAGCGACAGCGTGGGAAACGCAACCCAGAACCGCTGGGGAGCTCTGCAGTGGGACATGGGGCCTGTCCCCTCTAGGGGGCGCTGGCTCCCATTTGGGCCCAGGGCAGGGGCTGTCTGGCTTGGCCAGAGCTGTTTAGAGGGTTAGAGCAGGCAGGGCTGGGAGGCAGGACGTCTGGGTTCTGTCCCTGGCTCCGCAACTGATTCTCTGTGACCCTGAGTCAGCCACTTCCCCCCCCATGCCTCAGTTTCCCCAGCAGAAGGGTCCTAGGGTGCGGCCTAAGTCCCTGCCTCTCTTACCTGCCACCAGGGTTTCTGGGCCTGTGCATGGACGGGCACCTCCACCCCGTAGCAGTGCAGGGCGAGGTCCAGCACGGCCACGGCCACGTGCTGGGGGGGGTAGCGCACACAGAGCCCCCCGTGGTAGCTGTCCCGGAGCAACGCCCAGGCCGCCGCCGAGACCGGGATCCGCTCCCAGCTGTGCCGGTTCATCCACCGCCGCAGGGAGAGCAGGTAATGGAGCAGGTACTGCAGGGAGAGACGGGGGGTGGGATGGGGGGACCCAGGAGTCCTGGCGCCCAGCCCCCAGCTCCAACCCACCAGACCCCCCTCCCCACAGAACGCCAGTCCCCTTCCTTCTAGGGCAGAGCAGCAGGTTCAGGGCAAACCCTCTGTCTCCCCCCGCTGCGCCCCAGACCCGCCCCGAGGACCCACCTTGTGGGGGTGCCGGAAGGAGACACGGAAGCCAAGCACCCGCAGCATGAGCAGCTCGCACTGGACGATGCTGTCCCGCAGCTCCCAGAAATGGGAGTCGAGTTCCAGGGGGTCGCTCTTGGGGTGTAAGTACCTGGGGAGGGGGAAGTTAGTGGGGGGTAGGGTTGGGGAGGCAGGAATCCTGGCGCCCATCTTTCCTATTCTAGCCCAGCAGACCTGACTCCTCTTCCAGAGCTGGGAGAGAACCCAGGAGTCCTGTCTCCCAGCCCCCCGTGCTCTAACCCACCAGACCCCGCTCCCTTCCCAGAATCAAGCAGAGAACCCAGGAGTCCTGGCTCCCAGCCACCCCTGCCCCCAACCACTAGACTCCCTCCCCTCCCAGGGCTGGGGAGAGAATCCAGGAGTCCTGGCTCCAGAGCCCCGGCTCTACCCCCCAGGGCATGGGGCGCGGACCTCCAGCAGGAGGCAGGTTGGGTTACCGGTGGCTGACGTTGATGATGTCCCGGGTGCGTAGGTGCTGCTCCTCCACCTTCCCGGCCAGGTACAGCGCAGCCATGGCCACCAGGTAGGGGTCGTAGGGTCCCGGGGCCACCGTAGCCGTGAAGAAACTGTGGTAGATGGTGCAGGCCGTGGCCACAGGGATGGAGTGCAGACCCAGCTTCACCCCTGGGGGGAGGCAGGTGTCACTGGGGTGGCAGAGCCCCCCAACCGACACACCACCCATCCCTTCCCCACCTGCCATGGCCCCCCTTCCCCCTCAGGGTTATGGTGCCGGCTTCCCCTTAGGCCTCCCCCAATTGACTGGCCACCTCCTCTATGCCCCGCACTGGTCGGCTGCCCCCTGCCGCTCCCAATCTCCCCCAGCAGGCCCTGCCCCCCGGCAGCACGGTCTCCCCTGTGCCCCACACCGCCCCTCCGTCCTCCCTCCCCCAGCACAGCAGCCCCCGGCGCCCCAGCCTTTACCTGCCTCCATGATGAACCGGGTGACCTTGAAATGGCTCCTGGTCTCGGCGGATCCTGGCCCGGTCTGGTCGCTGGCCGCCTGGTTGGGCTCCATGGCACCCGCGGCCGCCTGGGGAGTGAGACCAGCAAGTCACTCACCGGCAACCCCCCACCGCAACGGGGAGGACACCGCGCCTGGACGACGTCGCCCACTGCAATGACAGCGTTTGGGGGGGGGACGGGGCCCCCTGAGGCGACCGCGTTCGGGGGGGGGACGGGGCCCCCTGCGGCGACCGCGTTCGGGGGGGGGACGGGGCCCCCTGCGGCGACCGCGTTCGGGGGGACGGGGCCCCCTGCGGCGACCGCGTTCGGGGGGACGGGGCCCCCTGCGGCGACCGCGTTCGGGGGGGGACGGGGCCCCCTGCGGCGACCGCGTTCGGGGGGGACGGGGCCCCCTGAGGCGACCGCGTTCGGGGGGACGGGGCCCCCTGCGGCGACAGCGTTCGGGGGGCGGGGCCCCTGAGGACAGCGTTCGGGGGGCCTGAGGGACAGCGTTCGGGGGGACGGGCCCTGAGGCGACGCGTCGGGGAGGGGCCCCTGAGGGACAGCGTTCGGGGGGAGGGCCCCTGTGGCGACCGGTTCGGGGGAGCCCTGGGGACAGGTTCGGGGGGGGGCCCCTGAGGCGACGCGTTTGCGGAGGGGCCCCTGAGGGACCGCGTTCGGGGGGACGGGCCCCTGAGGCGACGCGTTCGGGGGGCGGCCCTGCGGCGAGCGTTCGGGGGGGGCCCTGTGGCGACCGCGTTCGGGGGGGCCTGGGGACCGCGTTGGGGGGACGGGCCCTGAGGCGACGTTGGGGGGGGCCCTGAGGCGACGTTCGGGGGGGGGCCCGCGGACAGCGTTCGGGGGGGGGGCCCTGGGCGATGCGTTCGGGGGGACGGGCCGTGGCGACCGCGTGGGGGGGGGGTGGCGACCGTTCGGGGGGGCCCTGAGCTGGGGGGGCTGAGAAGGTTGGACCCTGGCGCGTCGGGGCCCGCGAGGTTGGGCCCTGTGAGTTCGGGGCCCGAAGTCGGGGGCCCTGAGCACGGGGGGAGCCCTGAGAGGTTCGGGGGGCGGGCCCCTGAGGCGACCGCGTTCGGGGGGGGCGGCCCTGCGGCGACCGCGTTCGGGGAGGGGAGCCCTGCGGCGACCGCGTTCGGGAGGGGGGCCCCCTGTGGCGACCGCGTTCGGGGGGGGGACGGGGCCCCCTGAGGCGACCGCGTTCGGGGGGGGCGGGGCCCCCTGAGGCGACCGCGTTCGGGGGGACGGGGCCCCTGTGGCGACCGCGTTCGGGGGGGACGGCCCCTGAGGCGACCGCGTTCGGGGGACGGGGCCCGGGCACGCGTCGGGCCCTGAGTGGGGGGGGGGCCCCTGGGCGAGGTGGGGGCCTGGCGCTCGGGGGGGGGCCCCTTGGACCGTCGGGGGGCCCTGGGGCGCGCGGGGGGGCCCGAGCAAGGTCGGGGACCTGGTCGGGACGGGCCCCGGGAGTGGGGCCCCGCAGGGGCCCGGGCGGTTGGGGGGGGGCCCTGGGCGACGCGGGGGGGCCCTGTGGCGAGCGTTCGGGGGACGGGGCCCCTTGGCGACGTTCGGGGGGGCGGGGCCCCTGGGCGACCGCGTTCGGGGGAGGCCCTGCGGCGACGCGTTCGGGGGGAGGGGCCCTGCGGCGACCGCGTTCGGGGGGGGGACGGGGCCCCTGGGCGACCGCGTTCGGGGGGACGCCCTGGGGACCGCGTTCGGGGGACGGGGCCCCCTGAGGCGACCGCGTTCGGGGGGGGGGCCCCTGAGGCGACAGGTTCGGGGGGAGGGGCCCTGAGGACGTGGGGGGCCCTGAGGGAGGTGGGGGGGGGGCCCCTGTGGCGACGGTTCGGACCCCTGGCAGGTTCGGGGGGCCCCTGAGGAGTTCGGGGGGGGGGCCCCTGAGGAAGGTTGGGGGGGCCCCTGAGGGACGCGTCGGGGGGAGCCCCTGAGGACCGTTCGGGGGGCGCCTGTGGCGAGCGCGGGGGACGGGGCCCTGTGGCGACGGTTCGGGGGGGGACGGGGCCCCCTGAGGCGACCGCGTTCGGGGGGGGGGACGGGGCCCCCTGAGGCGACCGCGTTCGGGGGGGGACGTCGCCCGGCGCAGCCCCCACCCGCCTCCAGCTCTGCCCTGCTGTGACGTCACGAGGGGCAGTGACCTCGCTCGATGACATCACTCAGGATGACCGCGATGCGCTCAGCACCCCAAGGCTGCGCCATCACCGGCCGTGCACTATCGCCATGACAACAGTGGTGATATCACTCTGCAGGGAGATGACATCACGTTATTTCACAGCGTGTCGTGTGACACAACGCGGTGACGTCACGGACTAATTCGATGACGTCACGCTTTGCCCTATGGGCCCACCGCGTCACTTCCTCCCGCCGCCCTGGGGCCACGTGACCTCTGCCCCTCACCCAATCAGGAGCCCTCGCCGGCTTGAGCCCTCCCCATGAGCCAGCCTGGGGCTCAGGCCGTCGTTAGGCCGCGCGGTGGCCGGTGCCCGGATGTAGCCGGCAGGGAGGCCCCATCACGGCCGCTTCCGGGTTGTGGCGCCCTTCCCGTCCCGATGTAGGTGTCCACCAGAAGTGCCTGCTAATAACCCGCACCCCGCGCCACCCGAGCTCGGCGGGGCTGGCGGCTGGACGCCCCGCTCTCCGCACTGCGGGCGGCCCGCGGGTTTTTCCCTTCCGTCCGCGCCCACTTCGGGACAGGCACCCGCCACCGGCAACCCACCTCGAGGTCCTCCGAAAGGCCGGTGCTTCTCTCGCCTCTGATTGGCTAGAGAAGAGGCAGGCTGACCAATCGGCGGAGGCAGAGCGTGGCTGCTCCTTTGCTCCCTGCGCGGTTTCGCGCCTTTCTCTGATTGGCCCTGAGGCCTGAGGCGACGGCCAATCACACTACGCCGCCTCGCGCGATGGGCGGGAAGGGAGAACTGGCCAATCACGGGAACGATGCGGGAGTTCGGCGCGAGGTGGCACTGGCCAATCACATGAGGAGCAGCCAGGACTCTGGGGGGAGGAGCAGAGGGGAGGGCGTGGTGCTGGGAGACGGGGGCGGGGTTAGACAGGTGCAGGCGGTGGGGCCCAGAGAGCAGGGGGAGGAGTCAGGGGGAGGGGGAGGGGCCTACAGCGCAGGGGGAGGAGTCAGGGGAGGGGCCTAAAGCGCAGGGGAGGAGTCAGGAGGAGGAGCGGGGCCTAGAGCACAGGGGGAGGAGTCAGGGGAGGGGTGGGGCCTAGGGAGCAGGGGGAGGAGTCAGGGGAGGGGCCTAAAGCGCAGGGGGAGGTGTCAGGAGGAGGGGCGGGGCCTAGAGCACAGGGGGAGGAGTCAGGGGAGGGGTGGGGCCTAGGGAGCAGGGGGAGGAGTCGGATGGGGGAGGGGTGGGGCCTAGAGAGAAGGGAAGGGGTTGGGGGGCAGGGGCGGAGCCTGAAGGGGGCGGGACGGTAAGGGATGGGCAAGGGAAGAAGGAGCCAGGGTGGGGCTAGGGTACGAGGACTCTCCTCTCCAGGGGGTGCTAGCTCTGACCCAACATGGGGATGGGGCACCGGCCGGGCTGGCAGGGGCTGCGGGTCTGGAGTGAGGGGCACCGGCGGGGCTGGGGGGAGCCCAGGGCCGGGCTGGCAGGGGCTGCGAGTCGGGAGTGAGGGGCACCGGCGGGGCTGGGGGGAGCCCGGGGCCGGGCTGGCAGGGGCTGCGAGTCGGGAGTGAGGGGCACCGGCGGGGCTGGGGGGAGCCCGGGGCCGGGCTGGCAGGGGCTGCGAGTCGGGAGTGAGGGGCACCGGCGGGGCTGGGGGGAGCCCAGGGCCGGGCTGGCAGGGGCTGCGAGTCGGGAGTGAGGGGCACCGGCGGGGCTGGGGGGAGCCCAGGGCCCGGCTGGCAGGGGCTGCGGGTCGGGAGTGAGGGGCACCAGCAGACCTCAGGAGGGTGTTAATATCCCCCCACAATCAACGGAGCCGCAGCCCCGAGGCAGGCTGTGCTTTGGAAGATGGCTCCGTTCATCCTCGCCCGCTTGCTGTTGCCATGGTTTCCATTCACAGGCGGCGTGGGGGGGGCGGCCGTGAGCAGCACAGATAACAAGTGGATCCCTCAGCTGAGTCCCTGCCGCAGGACCGACCCCGAATCCACTGGACCCAAGAGGCTGCAGCAGAACTCCGGTATCACAGATCCACCGTGGGACCGAGGCCCGGGTCTGGGAGCAACAGGTCTCTTTTGGGAAGTGAGGGGTTAAGGGCAGGAACGGTGCTAAGCTGTGCTTACCCTCACCTCCAGCACTCAGCTGTGCCTTGGTTTCCCCAGATTCAGCTGGGTGCTGAGCCACAGCCCCACAGCAGTGTGCCCCAGTTTCCCCATTTCAGGTGCTGGCAGCCAAAGCCACGTTAATCTCTGCCCAGTGCCCTGCACCACAGGGAAGGCCAATCTCACTCAGGGCCCTCACGGCGCCCAGGGCGACGGGGCCCTGATCTCGGTCAGGCCTTGATCTCGGGCCGTCCAGGCAGGGCTCTCTGAGGAGGGCAGAGGGCGTGGCGTCGGACGGCAGGTGGAAAACGGGAGCAAGTTCCTCTTGCATGAAGCCTGGCCTGCGAGGTATCAGTCGGTTTCTATTTATAATGACCTCTCGGGGCTGCGTCATTTCCAGCACTCAACGGCCCAGCGGCCATCAGCCAAGCGTGTGCGTGTGCCGGGCGCTGCCCAGACCCCAGCCGAGATCGGGGCCCCATGTGAGCGTTCTCAGGCCCCTAATGACCCTCCTCTCCCTCCCCTCTGATTTTGCGGAGGTGCCACTTCTCATCCCAGTGCCCGTCTGGCCTGTCACTGCACGGCATCCCCCTCTGGGTCTGCCTCAGCCCCCAGGCGTCTCCTCCGCCTGCCATGCCCTGCTGCTCCGTGGCAGCGTGGGAAGCTGATGGCACATGGACCTGCTCTGCTCTCACTCTAAATTTAGAGCAGCAAGAGAAACAGGAAAAAACCCAGCCTCTGCATGCAGGAATGTAGCAACGGGCAGGCTGGGGCGAGGCCCATCTACCCCGGTATCCGTCTCCAAGCACGGCCCTACTCTGAGCCAGGCTCTTTGCGGTCCCCTGGGGGCCCTGCTCTTGGTCAAGGATGGCACAAGGGGACAGGCTCCGGGCCCCATTCCCTGGCCCCCTGAGCCTGCCAGTCCCGCCCAGGAGCCAGATCAAAGCCGGGGCCCCCTAGAAGAGAAAGGCCCCGTGTCCCATTCCCTGCTCCCCCTGACCCGGGCAGTACCGCCCTGAGACCGGATGGGAGATGGGGTCCCCTAGAGGGGACAGACCCCGCCCCCATTCCCGCCTCCCTGAGCCAACCAGAGCCCCCAAGCACTGTGGGAGTCATGGCCCCCCCGGAGGCGAGAAGTCTGCGGCCCAGATGCTAATGGAGACCCTCTGCGCCAAAGGAAGATGAGATCATGTGTTCATCCTGCTCCCTCCCTGGGGGCTCTGTGGGGCTGGTCGCTGTTGTGTGGCAGGGAGAGGGCTGTGCCCACCCCCACCCCAGCGCTGAAGATTATCTCATCTTATAGCTTGGAGCTGGGATGGGGTGGTAGGGCTTGAGAGAAAGCTATGGCTTTAATAGAGAAGCGGGGCTGGTGGGGTAGGGGGCTGGGAGCCAGGACTCCTGGGTTCTCTCCCAGCTCTGCGGGGGGAGCGGGGTCTGGTGGGGCAGCAGGGGGCCCTGTGGGCGGGGCTGCTGGGGGGTGGATGTGAGCGCGTGTCCTGGGGGCGCGCTGCAGGCTGCGTGGGTTTGCCATGAGTCTCTGAGTTCCAGCACGTCTCTGGGGACTCATCATGGGCCCGCATGACACCATCCGCCCGCTCCGGGTGACTAACCAGCGGGGCGGAGCAGGGGGTACGGGGCTGGCGGCCAGGACTCCTGCATCCCCTCAGCTGCAGAGAGGGGTCTGATTCGGTGGCCCCCGAATCAGGGACTGAGCATCCGGCTGTCCCGTGCCTCTGGCTCAGGCCCTCCTGGCTGCGTGCCTGTGACTCAGTTTCCCCATTTATTACCTGCCCTAACACCTGGCAATTAGGGGTCAACCTCCCAGCAAGCGACCCCTCTCTCCCGGGCTTTTCCAGGCCCCCTGCCCCTCGGCTCTCCCTGGTGCCTGTGTGAGTTCTCCCGCTCACTCGAAAGGGTTCGCGTTGCCAAGGCGATGGGAGCGTGTCGTGGGAGGGCGAGATTGTTCCCTTCGACTATTCTGGGCTCCTCCGTCTCCCCGAGCCCTGCTCCCCTGTCCTCTGAGTCACAGCCTGCGGGGTGCTGGATCGTGCCCGGTTCCCGAGCGCGAGTTCTCCCCGGGGCCGGGGCCGGGCAGCACCAAGGGGGCCTGGCCCGTGGCGGAGCGCGACAGAGCACCCAGCAGGGTCGCTGCTCTGGGGAAACTGAGTCACACAGAGAGGCAATGGTATTTGACCCGCCTCCAAAGGCAGTGAGAGGTAAAGGACCCAGGAGTCCTGCCGCTTCCTCCCTGTTCTCCCTTCCAAAAGTGCTCTTTGTTCCACAGGCCCCTCACCCACCAGGCCCCCTCCCTTCCCAGAGCCCGAGAGAGAACCCAGGAGTCCTGGCTCCCCGCCCCTGCACACAGGATCTGCCCAGCCCCGCCCCTCAGGCTGTTCCCCACCAATCCGGGCGGCGGGGCGGGGCCCCGGGCTGTACACAGCCCGCACGTGGAGCCGGGCGGGCCCTGCGCACCCTGAATGCGGGAGCCGGACGCGCCCGCCCCAGCCCGGCGCCGGGAGCCTGGCGGGGCCGCGGGGCGGGGCCCAGGGGCTCCGCGGCGTGAGAGCGGCGGGCGGCGGCCAGGGTGAGCGCTGCGGGGCGGGATCTAGGCGGGGACGGGCTCTGGAGCCGGAGGGGGCTGGGGCAATTGTGGGGAGTGAGCCCGGACGCCTGGGTTCTCTCCCCGGCTCGGGGAGGGGAGCGGGGGCTGGTGCTTAGAGCAGGGGGTCTGGGAGCCCGGACGCCTGGGTTCTCTCCCCGGCTCGGGGAGGGGAGCGGGGGCTGGTGGGTTAGAGCGAGGGGTCTGGGAGCCAGGACTCCTGGGTTCTCTCCCTGGCTCTGGGAGGGGAGCGGGGGCTGGTGGTTAGAGCAGGGGGTCTGGGAGCCTGGACGCCTGGGTTCTCTCCCCGGCTCGGGGAGGGGAGCGGGGGCTGGTGGTTAGAGCAGGGGGTCTGGGAGCCAGGACTCCTGGGTTCTCTCCCTGGCTCTGGGAGGGGAGCGGGGGCTGGTGGGTTGGAGCAGGGGTCTGGGAGCCAGGACTCCTGGGTTCTCTCCCCGGCTTGGGGAGGGGAGCGGGGGCTGGTGGTTAGAGCAGGGGGTCTGGGAGCCAGGACTCCTGGGTTCTCTCCCCGTCTTGGGGAGGGGAGGGGGGACTGGTGGGTTGGAGCAGGGGTCTGGGAGCCCGGACGCCTAGGTTCTCTCCCCGGCTCTGGGAGGGGAGCGGGGGCTGGTGGGTTGGAGCAGGGGGCGCTGGGAGCCAGGACTCCTGGGTTCTCTCCCTGGCTCTGGGAGGGGAGCGGGGGCTGGTGGGTTAGAGCGAGGGGGCTGGGAGCCAGGACTCCTGGGTTCTCTCCCTGGCTCTGGGAGGGGAGCGGGGGCTGGTGGGTTAGAGCGAGGGGGCTGGGAGCCAGGACTCCTGGGTTCTCTCCCTGGCTCTGGGAGGGGAGCGGGGGCTGGTGGGTTGGAGCAAGGGTCTGGGAGCCAGGACTCTTGGTGATAGATTTAGGATAGAGCCCAGGTGAACAAATCCCTTTTCTGCTCCGTGCCTTAGTTTCCCCACCTGCAGTGAGTGTCGCTCACCCCCACCTCACAGGGGCGCTGCTGAGCAGGAGCCAGTGCAGATGAGGCTCCCAGGTGCTGGCAGAGGACCAAGGCTCTGGAGGGAGCTGCAGCCCAGGACCAGCAGAGGTAGAACCATCCCCCCCACAGAGCCCCGGGGACCAGCTGAGCCCCTCTTCCTGGGCCTGTGGACTGGCCCCCTATGACGGGCCGGGGACCTGCCCCCCAGCCATATCCTTTGAGCACTAGGACCGTTGTACTCGCGTGCTGGGACCCCGCAGCAGTGACTCGCTCCTGTCCGGTGCGTTTCATCAGTATCGAGGGGCTGGGTGTCCTCCTCGCAGGTGGGGAAACTGAGCCGCGGAGCGGAGCTGTGAATTGCCAGTGTTCACCCCACAGGGCAGTGGCAAAGCAGGGAATAGAAGCCAGGAGTCCTGAGTCTGTGCCTGGCCTGGCCTGGCCAGACAAAGTGACAGCGGAAACTGAGGCATGGATGGGAGGTGACTTGTCCAGGGTCACACAGCAGCATGGGGGCAGAGCTGGGGATAGACCCCAGACAACCTGAGCCCTAGCCCTCCCCCCACATTCTAACCCCCCAGGCCCCACTACCCCCTCAGAGCCAGGAGAGAACCCAGGCGTCCTGACCCCCAGCCCAGGCAGGGTCCCAGGGGGATGCTCTGGTGGAGGATATCTGTGGTTCCTGTTGGTATCAATTATTCATACTGGTGCCGAAATAACGCTGACATCAGCGCTTGGCAGCCGGCCAGACCCTCGGCTGGGCCCTTCACTGGGTCTGGCCCACGGCCGCTCCCCTCCCCCCACATCCTCTGCGCAGGGAGCCAGCTACAGCTGGGAGCCAGGACTGGGTGGGCAGGGGGCTGCGGGTCAGGAGTGAGGGGCACCGGCAGAGCTGGAGGGAGCCCAGGGCTGGGAGTGCAGGGGCTGCAGGTTGGGAGTGAGGGGCGCTGGCAGTCCCACTTCCCGCCCCATGGCCTGCCCTCCCAGGGGGACGTGTCACGGCTCCCAGGCAGGATGCTAGGAGGGGGCTGGGATCTCCTGCTCTCCCCGCCTCCCACCGTGGCTCGCTGACTCCCCTCCACTCTCCCTGGCAGGTCTGCTTGGAGCCCCGAGTGGCGGCTGGGCCTGTCTCCTTCCCTGCCCGTCTCCGATAGCACCCAGATGCCCCCCGTGCCCCAGCTCCATCCTGGACTCAGGCCCTTCTCCGCCCACCCCAGCCTTGGCAGCCTCAGGCAGCGGCTGCTGGAGAGGAAGCCACTCCCCAGATCGGGGGACGCCTCCCCGCGAAACTGCCAGGGGCTGGAGCCGTGACCCTGCGCTGCCCTCGCTCACTAAATCTGCCCTGCTGGCAGCTCCTTCCCTCACCGCCCCCCTTGTGCTGCCGGGCCACCCCCACACGCACAGAGGACAGCGGCGGGGCGTCCGCGGTGCCTCGTGCCCGCCAGGCACCGGCTGGCCCCTCCGGGGGCGGATGGGAGGACGGTGACCTGAGCCCAGGCGGCCGCCTTGCCAGCCGGCGTCCACGCAGGCCTGTGGCGCCGTGGGACGGGATTGGCTTGTACCACGTTTCCAGCCCCCCGCCGATGCCCCCACCAGCCCCATGGAAGCCGTGGCGAAATCCACCCTGTGGCTCCGCGGGGAGCTGGCGTCCCCGGCCCCCCGGCTGCACATCCTGGATTGCCGCAGCCGGGAGTGCTACGACTCCTGCCACGTGGCCCGGGCGCTGAGCGTGGCCCTGCCGGGGCTCCTGCTGCGGCGTCTGCACAAGGGGAACCTCTCAGTCCGCTCGCTGCTCCCGCCCGCGCCGGGCACCGTCCTGCTGTACGACGAGGCCACGGCCACGCTGCCGCGCCCCGGCCGGGACGACGAGGAGTCGCTGCTGGCCACGCTGCTGCGCAAGCTGCGGGAGGAAGGCTGCACGGCGTATTACCTCCAAGGTCGGTGCCGTGGCCGGGCCCCGTGGCGCCCGGCACCCCTCCCTGCCCGTGGCTCAGTCCCGTGCCTGTGCTCTGAGCTGCCCCCAGCCCACGCTCACTGGAGACACCCCAGAGACAAAGGCCGCCCGTGGCCTCCGACGTGGCCCGGCACCACTCCCAGCCCCTGGGGCCAAGAGAGCAGGCTGGGATGCAAGGCACCTGGGGGAGGGTCTGTCTGTGCCTCAGTTTCCCTGGTGCGATGGGGCTCAGTCGGGGGAGGGGGGTCTGAGCAGGGCCTGATGTGAGGCCGCCGCAGGCCCTGCTATAATATCTCTAATGCGAACACATCTGTTCCGCCCGCAGGGGGCTTCTCCAAGTTCCAGTCCGAGTGGCCAGATCACTGCGAGACCAGCCTGGAGGTGCCCGGCGCCAGCAGCTCCCCCGCTCCTACAGGGACCCCGGTGGTGGGCCTGGGGGGGCTGAGCCTGGGTTCGGACGGGGACTCGGGACCCCTAAGCAGTGGGGGGGTGGACTCTGAGGCGGCCAGTCCCCCATCCTACCCGGTGCAGATCCTGCCCCACCTCTACCTGGGCAGCGCCCAAGACTCGGCCAACATGGAGACGCTGGCACGGCTGGGCATCCGCTATGTCCTCAACGTCACCCCCAACCTGCCCAACCTCTTCGAGGAGCAGGGCGGCTTCTGCTACAAACAGATCCCCATCTCGGACCACTGGAGCCAGAACCTGGCCCGCTTCTTTCCCGAGGCCATTGCCTTCATTGGTGAGTGCCCCTGACCCACGGTGCCCCCCATGCCTGGGAGCCCTGCTGGCCCCACGGCACCCCCCTGTACTCCCAGGGCACCCTCTCTGCCCCCCACGCCTGGGAGCCCTGCTGGCCCCACAGTGTCTTCATAGAATCATAGAATATCAGGGTTGGAAGGGACCCCAGAAGGTCATCTAGTCCCACCCCCTGCTCAAAGCAGGACCGATCCCCAATTAAATCATCCTAGCCAGGGCTTTGTCAAGCCTGACCTTAAAAAATTCTAAGGAAGGAGATTCCCCCACCGCCCTAGGTAACGCATTCCAGTGCTTCACCATCCTCCTAGTGAAAAAGTTTTTCCTAATATCCAACCTAAACCTCCCCCACTGCAACTTGAGACCATTACTCCTCGTTCTGTCATCTGCTACCACTGAGAACAGTCTAGATCCATCCTCTTTGGAACCCCCTTTCAGGGAGTTGAAAGCAGCTATCAAATTCCCCCTCATTCTTCTCTTCCGCAGACTAAACAATCCCAGTTCCCTCACCCTCTCCTCATAAGTCATGTGTTCCAGTCCCCTAATCATGTTTATTGCCCTCCGCTGGACATTTTCCAATTTTTCCACATCCTTCTTGTGGTGTGGGGCCCAAAACTGGACACAGTACTCCAGATGAGGGCTCACCAACGTCGAATAGAGGGGGACGATCACGTCCCTCGATCTGCTGGCAATGCCCCTACTTGTACATCCCAAAATGCCATTGGTCTTCTTGGCAACAAGGGCACACTGCTGACTCATATCCAGCTTCTCGTCCACTGTCACCCCTAGGTCCTTTTCCGCAGAACTGCTGCCGAGCCATTCGGTCCCTAGTCTGTAGCTGTGCATTGGATTCTTCCGTCCTAAGTGCAGGACTCTGCACTTGTCCTTGTTGAACCTCATCAGATTTCTTTTGGCCCAGTCCTCTAATTTGTCTAGGTCCCTCTGTATCCTATCCCTGCCCTCCAGCGTATCTACTACTCCTCCCAGTTTAGTATCATCCGCAAATTTGCTGAGGGTGCAATCCACACCATCCTCCAGATCATTTATGAAGATATTGAACAAAACCGGCCCCAGGACCGACCCTTGGGGCACTCCACTTGACACCGGCTGCCAACTAGACATGGAGCCATTGATCACTACCCGCTGAGCCCGACAATCTAGCCAACTTTCTCTCCACCTTATAGTCCATTCATCCAGCCCATGCTTCTTTAACTTGCTGGCAAGAATACTGTGGGAGACCGTGTCAAAAGCTTTGCTAAAGTGAAGGAACAACACGTCCACTGCCTTCCCCTCATCCACAGAGCCAGTTATCTCATCATAGAAGGCAATCAGATTAATCAGGCATGACTTGCCCTTGGTGAATCCATGCTGACTGTTCCTGATCACGTTCCTCTCATCTAAGTGCTTCAGAATTGATTCCTTGAGGACCTGCTCCATGATTTTTTCCAGGGACTGAAGTGACGCTGACTGGCCTGTAGTTCCCAGGATCCTCCTTCTTCCCTTTTTTAAAGATGGGCACTACATTAGCCTTTTTCCAGTCGTCTGGAACCTCCCCCGATAGCCATGAGTTTTCAAAGATAATGGCCAATGGCTCTGCAATCACATCCACCAACTCCTTTAGCACTCTTGGATGCAGCGCATCCGGCCCCATGGACTTGTGCTTGTCTCCCCATCTCTGCACCATGACGCCCCCTCCTGTACCCCCAGCCCCAGTGCACCCTCTCTACCCTCTCCCAACCAGGGGGGTGTATCCGCCTTCCCCGTGTCCCCCTCAGCTCATAGACTTTGGTTCCTTGCAGTCCCATCAGCTCCCTCTGCATCGCATTGGCTGTGGTCCGTCCATCCTCTCGTTGCTCCCCCTGCCCCCATACCTCAGAAACTATGGTCCATTCCGTCCACTGCCCCCATGGCTCATTGACCATGGTCTGTCCTGCCCCGTCCCCACATGTCAGAGACCATGGTCCTTCCCATCTCCCGTCCCCGACTCCCTATAGACCAGTGACTATGGTCCGTTCCATCCCCCTTCCTCCCCACCCTCTGCCTCAGTTGACCACAAGCCCCATCTGCATCTCACTGACCATAGTCCGTCCCATCCCCCCGTCCTTTCCCATGGACTGGAGAACCCAGCGGAGCTAGTCCGTGCAGCTCTCCGATGTCAAGGGGCTTCTAACGACAGCCATACCTTAGCATCCCCCTCTCAGAGAGGGTGCCGACAGTGCCGACGCCCCCGTCACTCCCCTCTGCCTCGGCTCTCACCCTGCTCCGTCCCCGTCTCTCCCCCTCTCCAGACGAGGCGGTCTCCCAGAACTGCGGCATCCTGGTTCACTGCCTGGCAGGCGTGAGCCGCTCGGTGACCGTGACGGTGGCCTACCTCATGCAGCGACTCAACCTGTCGCTCAACGACGCCTACGACTTGGTCAAGCGCAAGAAGGCCGACATCTCACCCAACTTCAACTTCATGGGGCAGCTGCTGGACTTCGAGAGGGAACTGGGGCTGGCCGAGGGATCACCAGCGACCCCTGGAGCCCCCGACGGGAGCGGCCAGACGCTCACATCCTCCCCAGGCTGCTTCTTCACGCCGCCACCCTCCGAATGTGAGGAAGAGGATGGCAGCTTCCAACATTACCCCACATAGCCCTTGCCATCCCCCATGAGCCCCATGGCTAATCTAGGCATCGGTGGGATTACCAGGGGATGTGTGGCTAACCTAGCCTTGGCAGGATGCTAGAACCCACAGGGATGAATCTAGACCTGCCTTTTCTGGGATCTGTGTTCTGGAGCCAGGTCTGGAACCTGCAGCTCTGGAATAGGGACGCAGAATCTGTAATTAACTTCCTTGTTTGGACTTTTGATTCTGGAACTACAAGGAAAAGAAAACCCAGTGAAGTCATGCTGGAGCCTAGAACTCATCACTCAACAGACGGGAGCTTGAGTGCCATGCCAGGTCTGGACCTCTAGAATTCAACTGTGCCCCAGAGCCATCAGAACATGAAGCTAGAACCTGCATCAACTACCTTGTTTGGACATTTGGTTCTAGAGATTCAATTAGGAGAATGTTAAGCCAGTAAACGACCATGCTGGAGCATAGAATGTGCAGCTATAGAGGTGGATTAAGAGATCTTGAATGCTAATGCCATGTCTGAAATATGGGCCTCTAGAATGTAGGAGATCAGCTGCACCTAGAATCTGATTGCTCCAGAACTACCATTTCAAAACCACATGCCAGCTCTGGAATCAAGAATTGGCCAGTAGTTCTAGAGCCATAATAAGAATTAGAAGCCACCAAGGTGGAGTCTAGAACCTGCAGTTCTAGAAGTGGATTAAGGAATCTACAGAACCAGGTCTGGAATATGCATCTCTAAAACAAAGACAGAGGACCTGTATTAACTCCCTTCTTTTGATCTAAAGCCACAATGAGAGTTATAAGACACTGAGCTACCAGTCCACAATCTAGATCCTGCAGCTCTAAAAGTGAGTGAAGGAATCCCCATTAGCCAGTGCCAGGTCTGGAACAGCAGTTCTGGAACCAGGATCCAGAGCCAACACTTACCTGCCTTGTTTAGACCTTTTTGGTTCTAAAGCTACCAATCTACTATGCAAAAAGAAAAGGAGGACTTGGGGCACCTTAGAGACTAACCAATTTATTTGAGCATGAGCTTTCGTGAGCTACAGCTCACTTCATCGGATGCATACCGTGGAAACTGCAGCAGATTTTATATACACACACAGAGAATATGAAACAATACCTCCTCCCACCCCACTGTCCTGCTGGTAATAGCTTATCTAAAGTGATCATCAAGTTGGGCCATTTCCAGCACAAATCCAGGTTCTCTCACCCTCCGCCCCCATACACACACAAACTCACTCTCCTGCTGAGTAATAGCTCATCCAAAGTGACCACTCTCCCTACAATGTGCATGATAATCAAGGTGGGCCATTTCCAGCACAAATCCAGGTTCTCACCCCCCCCCCCCATACACACACAAACTCACTCTCCTGCTGGTAATAGCTCATCCAAACTGACCACTCTCAAAGTTTAAATCCAAGTTGAGTGGTCAGCTATTACCAGCAGGAGAGTGAGTTTGTGTGTGTGGGGGGGGTGAGAGAACCTGGATTTGTGCAGGAAATGGCCCAACTTGATTATCATGCACATTGTGTAGAGAGTGGTCACTTTGGATGGGCTATCACCAGCAGGAGAGTGAATTTGTGTGCGGGGGTGGAGGGTGAGAAAACCTGGATTTGTGCTGGAAATGGCCCAACTTGATGATCACTTTAGATAAGCTATTACCAGCAGGACAGTGGGGTGGGAGGAGGTATTGTTTCATATTCTCTGTGTGTGTATATAAAATCTGCTGCAGTTTCCACGGTATGCATCCGATGAAGTGAGCTGTAGCTCACGAAAGCTTACACTCAAATAAATTGGTTAGTCTCTAAGGTGCCCCAAGTCCTCCTGTTCTTTTTGCGAATACAGACTAACACGGCTGTTACTCTGAAACCAATCTACTATGGTGGAACCTAGAACCTGCAGCCCCCAGCAGCGTGTTCAAGATTCTCCATGGCCTGGAACCTGTAGCTAGGATTGGTGATCCACACTACCTAGAACCTTACTACTTGAGCATTATCGTTTAAAAGCCACATGGGCCATGTTTGGAACCTGCCTGGCTATACAACAAAGAGAACTCCTGTCTTGTTTGGACCATTGGTTCTAGAGCCATAATGTGAGTAATAATCATGCCAGAATCTAGAACCTGCAGCTGTAGAAGTGGGGCGAGTGATCTCCAGTGCCAGGTCTGGAACCTGGGGCTCTAGAACAGGGATCCAGAGCCCACATTCACCTGCCTTGCTGGCATCTTTTGGTTCTAGAGCCAGTTAGGCTACCATGCTGGACTCTAGATCTTGCAGCTCCAGAAGTGGGATCAGGAAACTTCCCCATCAGACTTCACCCCAATGCCTGCCCTGAAACGTCACCCCGAGACTGAGTGCTGACCCAACTGCGTCCAGCCACTTGCTCGTGGGTTTTGAACAACTGGATTGGAACTGGGGCTGGTTGGCGATTCTAGAACCGGTTCACAGTAGGGTTCCCAGCCCGAAAACCAGATTGTGTTGTGGAGGGTTTGGAGCAGAGGCCTGGGGGGGGGGCCTGCAGGGAGCAGAGGCCTGGGAGACAGGAAAGAATGGTGTGTGTGTGTGTGTGTCCATCTGTCTGTCCCTACTGGAGATGTCCCGTGTGTGTAACCCTGCTGCAGGAGAGGAACCCTGGCCTGTGTGTATGTGTCCCCCGTGTGCGTGTCCCTGCTGGAGGGGATGTGCTGTGTGTGTGTCCAGGTGCCAGAAGCTCACACTGATCCCCCCCCTGGGTGGCGGGGGAGGGGTGTTGTTTGTTCACTGTTCTGACACCCCCCAACACACACATTGCAGGGGATGTGCTGTTGTCAGGGTGTCCAGGGGCAGGGGGATGACAATAAAGCTGGACTTTAACCCCCTGCTCCTGTTGTGCTCAGTGTCCTCCTGCAGGGGGAGCTGGGAACCCGGACTCCTGGGTTCTCTGCCTAGCCGAGGGAGGGGAGTGGGGACAGGTGGGTTAGAGTGGGATGCTGGGAGTCTGGACTCCTGGGTTCTTTCCCTGGGGAGCAGTGGCTGGTGAATTACAGCGGGGAGGGCTGGGAGTCAGGACTTTTGGGTTCTCTGCCTGGCCGTGGGAGGGGAGTGGGGCTGGTGGGTTACAGTGAGGGGGAACTGGGAGTCAGGACTCCTGGGTTCTCTGCCCGGCCCTGGGAGGGGAGTGGGGCTGCTGGGGTAGAGTCTCACTTTTTCCCTAAAAAAGGAGTACTTGTGGCACCTTAGAGATTAACAGGATGCAGTTTCCACGGTATGCATCCGATGAAGTGAGCTGTAGCTCACGAAAGCTCATGCTCAAATAAATTGGTTAGTCTCTAAGGTGCCCCAAGTCCTCCTGTTCTTTTTGCGGATACAGCCGAACACGGCTGTTACTCTGAAACTTTTTCCCTAGCAGAGGCCAGGGCAGGGACCAGGCTCTGTGGCCAGCTGGACTGCCCTGGCCTTTCCCTGGGGAGGGCCCAGCTCAGGCCTGCCGGGACCCCACGTCCTGCAGCTTCCCTTCCCAGCGCCGCCCTTCCCCTCCGCAGCCAGCTGCGTCCGGAGCCACGGGGGGCAAAGGCGGAGCAGAACCGTCAGATTGGCCCATGAGTCAGGGGCGGGGGGGCTCGGCGGGGGGGCGCTTTCCCCTGGCCGGCAGGGGGGGGGGGCGCTTTCCCCTGGCCGGCAGGGCAGGGGGCGGCGGGGGGGCGCTTTCCCCTGGCCGGCAGGGCTGGGGGCGGGGGGGGGCGCTCTCCCCTGGCAAAATCTCCAGTGATTTCCCATCCACCCTGGAAGAGACATGGAGCCCCCCCCAGCTCACCCGCCCCCCGGTCCATGGGGCTGCGGCGCCTCCGGCCTTTGTGAGCAGAGGAAATGCTGCTTCCGCTGAGCTGGGGGTGGAAGTGACCCCCCCCGGCCCCCAGCCAGAGCGGGGCGGGTCTAAGCCAAGAGCTGCCTGGCGCAGCCCCCCCACTGCGGCCTCCGAGCCCTGCTCACCAGCGCCAGGCCCCGCCCCTCACAGCCCCACCCTGGCCATATCTGGCCCCGCCCCTTTACCTAGCCCCGTCCTGCTAAACCAAACCCAGCCCTGCCCCTTTACCCAGCCCCGCCCCACCAAACCCAGCCCCGCCCCTTTACCCAGCCCCACCCCTGACCAAACCCGGCCCCGCCCCTTTACCCAGCCCCACCCCTGACCAAACCCAGCCCTACCCCTTTACCCAGCCCCACCCTGCTAATCCAAAACTGGCCCCGCCCCTTTACTCAGCCCCGCCCTGCTAATCCAAACCTGGCCCCGCCCCTTTACTCAGCCCCACCCCTTACCAAACCCGGCCCCACCCCTTTACCCAGCCCCACCCTGCTAATCCAAACCCGGCCCCGCCCCTTTACCCAGCCCCGCCCCTGACCAAACCCGGCCCCGCCCCTTTACCCAGCCCCGCCCCACCAAACCCAGCCCCGCCCCTTTACCCAGCCCCGCCCCTGACCAAACCCAGCCCTGCCCCTTTACCCAGCCCCACCCTGCTAATCCAAACCTGGCCCCGCCCCTTTACTCAGCCCCGCCCTGCTAATCCAAACCTGGCCCTGCCCCTTTACTCAGCCCCGCCCTTACCAAACCCGGCCCCCACCCCTTTACCCAGCCCCACCCTGCTAATCCAAACCTGGCCCCGCCCCTTTACTCAGCCCCGCCCTGCTAATCCAAACCTGGCCCTGCCCCTTTACTCAGCCCCGCCCCTTACCAAACCCGGCCCCACCCCTTTACCCAGCCCCACCCTGCTAATCCAAACCTGGCCCCGCCCCTTTACTCAGCCCCGCCCCTTACCAAACCCGGCCCCGCCCCTTTACTCAGCCCCGACCAGACCAGACCCAGCCCTGCCCCTTTACCCAGCCCCACCCTGCTAATCCAAACCCGGCCCCGCCCCTTTACCCAGCCCCGCCCCTGACCAAACCCGGCCCTGCCCCTTTACCCAGCCGCGCCCCTGACCAAACCCAGCCCTGCCCCTTTACCCAGCCCCACCCTGCTAATCCAAACCTGGCCCCGCCCCTTTACTCAGCCCCGCCCCTTTACTCAGCCCCGCCCCTTACCAAACCCGGCCCCGCCCCTTTACTCAGCCCCGCCCCTTTACTCAGCCCCGCCCCTTACCAAACCCGGCCCCACCCCTTTACCCAGCCCCACCCTGCTAATCCAAACCTGGCCCCGCCCCTTTACTCAGCCCCGCCCCTTACCAAACCCGGCCCCACCCCTTTACCCAGCCCCGCCCTGCTAATCCAAACCCGGCCCCGCCCCATTACCCAGCCCCGCCCCTCATAGCCCCGCCCTCGACCAAACCCGGCCCCTCCCCTCGCAGCCCCGCCCTACTAACCGGGCCCCGGCCCCGCCCCCAAATATGGCCCCGCCCCTAACCCCTGTCCCTCCTCCCCCCGCCTGCTCACTCCCCTTCCGTTTTCCATCCCCGCCCCTCCGTTTACAGCAGGGCGGGAAAGCAAAGGGGCGTGGCTTTCGTGAGGACGCAGCCCATGAGCGCCGCAGGTCAGTGTGAGTGGCAGCGGCGCTGGCCAATTGGGGCGGGTCTCGGCCCTCGGCGAGCTGCGGGGCAAGATGGCGGCGCCCGCGGCGGCCTCCGTGTACAGGCAACTGAAGGTACCGGGCGGGACCATCACACCCGGATGGGGGGCGCCGGGCCGGAACACTGAACCAGCGGGGGCTGCCGGGTGGGACCATCGCACCTAGCCGGGCCTCGTGGGCCGGGTCAGACCATTGTGCCGAGGAGGGGTGTCGGTCAGGACCAGGGGGTGGTGGGAGGACGGGACCATCGCGCCTAGTGGGGGTGGGGGGCGCCGGGCGGGACCATCGCATGGCGTGGGGGGCGCCATCTGACCCCTGTGTCCCCCCAGGAGCTGCGCTGCCCCCTGCTGGACGGAGTTTTCCTGCCCGAGCCCGAGGCCGCCCTGCAGCTGCTCTGCGCCCCCTCGGCCCAGCGCCTGGAGCTGCTGGCCTGGCTCTGCGCCCGGTACCGCGGGGCCCCGGCCCCCTAGTGTCCCCCTGGACCCGCGTGTGGCCCCGCC